CTCAAGACATCAGTAATTCCTATCTTTATATAGCCATTAGCTCCCCAAAATTGCGCATGAAAAATATGGAGCCAGCAAACAGCCCAAATGCACGCAGCGACTTCTGTAAAAAGAACAAAAGGAATTTTTTTAATTATTCACATAATATCAACCGGACCGAAAATATGAAATATAATTTCAGTATACAATGCAACTAACTACTATATGCAAGTGTAAGAAAAGAAAATGTTGCTTAAGAAATGTCTTCTAATATATCATGTTGTGAACTTGCAATGCCTGCAAATATAGATGTACAAGTCTATCATCGAATATGCATAAAGTATCACAAAAATAAGAAAGTTTGTTCAGAGATAGTTTCCAACAATTAATTTTTATTCTTCACACACTAAAGTTACCCCTAAGTGCTACTTGGATTGACAAAAAACAAAAATACATATTGAGCTTATAGTTATAGCACGTAACTCATATGGAAAAAAAGGAGCCAAATCTTTTTTTACATGCTAAATGGAGTAGAAATCAAAAGTACATATATATGAAGTATTACCAAACATGGTTGCATGCTGACAAACGGTACGCATACATGATAGATTTCCTCTTCAAAATACCAACGCGCCCATAAATATTCCAAATCTTATTTACACTTGTTCTTCAAGATACCAATGGTAAGATACTAATATCGGTAATGCAGCTTCCATTTTACAACAAATGCCCTATGATATGTAGAATGTTTTACCCGGTAAAAAAAATGGCATGTTCAAGATACCTGGATATGGCGTGTGCCCATCCATTTTTGACAGTTCAAATTTGAAAACTACAGTTCACCTCAAAAACTAAACATAAGACAGTTGCTGCGTGCCATCTTGACAAAAATTAATTATTTTATTGACGCTTTTACTTCAAATAGGTTATTCCATATATCAATAGCAACAACTACGAATATAATGAGTCGAAACTACATCTATTATGGCGATAAATAAAACAAAGTTGTTTCCTACTGACTAGATTTTGGACAATTGCCATCTAAGACCAATGACCATGTAATACTGGAAGTGCATTGCACCTCACAAGCACCTAAATTTGTCGTGACCACCCAAAAAGAAGAATATGAACATAAAAGACAGAAAAAAAAAATATTCTTAAAACAGGAAAGATGTCAAATAAAACTTCATAGGAAAACATTAAACAGTTAATGACATAATTTGTGTTCTTGTTCCTCCATATTCTTAATTAAGCTAAAAGTGTCACTTCAATATTTAGCCAGGGGCTAAATTACCGTAACCTAGTAATTTGATGTAATCCCTTTAATTTCAAATCACTTTGTCCATTGTAAAGCAACTTTGAAAGTTTTTACAGGCTTGTTGTTTTCGTCAGACTTGATTAACATGGCAAAGTTCAAGAAATAAAAGTTCCTTTATAAAATCTCCTATTTTCTAGGGCATGTGGGATTAAGATCAATAGAGAAAATCGATTGTGTTTGGCCACTTGCAATGGAGGCCAGGGCAGCAATGCACCATTTAGTAGAATTATTGTAATTAATGTAGCATGGGGAACTTGGTTGAAAGCGGTTGAGAATGATATGATATTGTTAATTTAAAGGAGATACACCTGAACAGAACTGAATCGAAGAAGAATATTCAACTAGTGAACCCTAAATATTTAGGATAATGGCTTTGTTGTTGCTACTACTGTTGCTGCATGTATCGAGATGCTAAAGGTTCCAACTTCTAACTAAGGAGGTAGTTACATGGTATATAGGCGAATGACATGCCAAATAGCAGGTGTCGATCAAGATATTAAATATTAATTAAATATTGAGGCACTTATAGTGGACAAAAACTATGTATTGTGCACATATATACTAACAAACTTAGTGTAATGAATATCCTAATTAACATTTATCATTCAAATTATAACATCTAATTTCAATGTTTTAAAATGGGTAATTATATAATCTTTTGTAACATTGACTAATATAAATATTTTTTAAAGAAGGTATATTAACAGTACAGGACCAACAAATAATACAGTAAGAATTCCTAATAATATAACTTATATAAGGAAAAAATAGAAAGATTAATAAAGAAATAAATTTCAAATCTATTACAATTCATTTGCAAAATTCCATGTCAGGACAATTCAGGCAATATGTTGGATTATATGTTGGACCAAACCTTACATGTGAGGGACATCGACCGAAAATGATATGAACTATATCTACCCCGTGTGGTAACATTAAGACCTAAAATGATATGTTGGAAGACAAAATGTGGCATGTTGATAACATTTAAAACAATGGATATACAATCAAAGTTAGATAATGTAAGCTCTTGACATATTATACTGTGTAGGGCTGGGTTCTTTTTACTTCACGCACAATCTCTTATACAGATCACCAATGAGGCCCCTAGTTACTTCTATGTTTGCCATCTGAAAATGGGGAAACTTATGACATGTGAATACTAGGTCATGAAGAAAGAAAGAGAAGAGGAGTAGACTATTGTGATTGCAAATCACATTACCGCTTCAAACCTATCATCCAGCAGATAATGGGGAATGAGAATGTCTCGTGTGACTTAAAAAGGTAATGCAACAAGAAAATAGAGGGAAAACAAAATTGGGGTTCTTTTTATAATGTTTTAGACTACTTGTAAAATTTCTAATTTGGATCACTTACATGCATAACTGTATTTGTAGATATGGTAGGTATATGAACTACTTATATAGTGAAAAATAGTGAAAAGCTAGAAACATTATTGCAAAAAAGTACAGGACAAATAGAAGATTTAAAGAAAGAATAATGAGCTGTAACAAACCAGTTATGCAATGTGTGGCCACAAAGAATCTTACTAAGATTAAAATGATGGTGGAAAGATAAAAATCATGCAACCTTTTTAAGTCCACATTAATTAAGATTGCTTAATTTCCCATTTATGTAGTTACATTTCCGGATTCAATTAACTTTTATTTTGTTGGATACCTTTTGCTATGTAGACTTTATCTTTATTATATTGTATCATGCAAGAACTGAAGGATTATTGATGAAAATCCTCCTCATTTATTAAGGATTGCATCTTTTTTTTTTACTTGTATTACTTTAACCGATATTCAACTTATCATTTACTTGATTCATCTATTGACCTTCTTTAATTAAAAAAGAATACATAATTTTTATTGTCAAACGTCAAAAAATAGTGGTCTGTGCTATGCATTATGGAACATTACAACATTGATCATTATAATTTCAATTTCTAAATTTTCTATAACCAATTCCTGCTCTTTTTTCTAATATTGATTGGCATGAAAGTTGAGTATAGGCACAAACAAGTCTATATTACCTAAACATGGCCAAAAGTACTTTAAAGTTCATAGTTTTGCTTAGCAGATTTCGGAAGGTTTTATGATAGAAAACTCATCCTCCAGCAAGGCACCCGATTTGACAAAAAAATCAAAACAAGAAAAGGAAATATCTAATAACCATGCAGCAAAAGTTAGAAGTGAAATTCAGCAAAACTTTCTGCATATCAAATGATATAACTTTGTACCCAAGTTTGTAAATATAAATTTCAGAAGAGGCTAAGGAGTAAAAATACATTGTGTTAGTAATACCAGAACTGTTGTGACATCAACAGCCATGAGATGATGTATGAAAAGGAAAAACAAATCCCATGAAAATGTAAGTGCAACTAAATAGGTAGCTTTTTGAAGCAAGAAGCATCCTTCTTATCAACTATAAATTTAATTTGTAATACAGTTTGATCCCAAAAAAAATCATTTATTATTTGAGATGCAAATTGTCGCCCAAAATATTTCTTTACTGCGATTCACCAAAGTTTTGATATATTTCCCCGAAGACAAAGAAATTAAAGAACTTTACTTCACACACAAAAATCGGCAGTCACTCACCCATCAAATTCAGAACCCTAAAATTACCAAACCCTACCAGAGACTGATCATAAAGAAATTCAACCAACAGCTAATATAAACAAAAACCAAAGAACAATCAACAGTAAATACCCAATCAATCGAATTCCGCACTGTGTTATTACGAAAGAAGGTTAAGATGAATACCGCGTTAACAGCCCACTTCTCTTCGTCGTTGATCTGAGAGTTCCAGAGATCTTTGACCGCCTCCACGGCTCCAGCGGGTTTCGATTTCGCCATTGCTACTGAGAAATTTTTTATGCTGTGTTTGGGAGTTTACTAACTGTTCGTTTATTTCCTAAAAACCAAGAAATGGAAATGGAAAAGGTGGAAATCTCAAAATAATCCATTTCTTCCATTTCCATCCCTAAAACTCACCCACAACATCCAATAAAATATTATTTTCATCCAACAACTCATCCATATCATCTAATAAAATATTATTTTTATCTAACCACTCATCCATTACATCTAATAAAATATTATTTTCATCTAACAATTCATCCACCATATCTAATAAAATATTATTTTCATCTAACAACTCATCCATCACATCTAATAAAATATTATTTTCATCCAAACATCACTCAACTCATCTCTTTTCATCATTTTAAATCACTCACATCCTCGAATAAAAAAATTATAACAATTCACCTCATCTCATTAACATTTTATTTCTTTGTTTTCATCCCAAAAAGTTGTGAAAATATTTTTCTTAATCTTTCTTCACATCACCCAATAATACAATGACAACTCATCTCATCTCATTTCATTTCTTATTTTTAAGAATGAACCAAACAAAAGAAAACAACAAAACTACAGGAAATAGGTTTCTTATAATTCATTTTCTTATTTTTTTCGCCAACCGAACAACATCAAAACTAGTTTTCTTAAAAAATCACTCACATCATCCAATAATAATGTGACAACTCATCTCATCTCATCTCTATTTCTTTGATTTCCTTTTTTTTAAGCCAACCAAACAATTCAAAAACTCATTTTTCTTAGAAATAGTTTTCTATTTCTTTGATTTCCCATTCTTTTAAGGCAAACGAACAGGCCCTAAAGGGAAGGGAAGGAAAGTGAAGGGAGGAAAGGTAAACAACGGGAAGGGAAGGGAAAGGAAGCTAAGGGAATTGTAATATGTTGTTTGGGAGTTGAACCGGGGGAATGAAGGTGAAAGGAAGAAAATATATGTAAATTTACATAAATAACTTTATACTAATAACACATCAGTCCTTTTATTTGTTTTGATGGGGATAAGAATGTTATTACACCCCTTTGATCCTTATTTACCCTCTCTTCCGTCAAATCGGGGGTGGGGGGGGCGAAGAAAACCAAGCATTTACCCTTCCGTTCCCCTTACTTCTTCCTCTCTACCCTCCTTAAAAAAAACTCCCAAACAAGATGAAAGCTGCATTTTTCTTCCTCTCCCCCTCTCTACCCTCCATCCAAACAGGGATTTGAGGGCTAAGGGTTTTTTGGTTCTCTCGTGTGGAGCGAATGGTTCAGAGAAAATAAACAGGCCAAATAGCACTGAAGTACCTTCTTGTTTCACCAACTTCGCGCTTACTTACTCTCACTCCTAGTAGATTTTAAAATTAGCACATTCATCCCCTTCCATCGTGCAAATATAAAAATTTTCACTCTAACTTTCCTAATTGGCACTCACACGCTAATTGATTTAAGGAAAAATTTGCAAAATAAACCTATTTTGTTAAATATTTAGCAAAACAGACCGTAGATCCAACCTCTCTCTCTCTCTCTCACCCCCATCATGGATTTTTCTCGTGAGCACCCTCTCGATTCTCTCCTCCATCATGTATTTTTCTCGCGAGCATCCTCTCGATTCTATCTCTTTCCATTTCCACTGAAACCCTAACCCTAGATCCAACCCCTCTCCCTCGATAATCAATCGCGTGGGGGACAGTGACGTTCAAGTTCAAGGGAGGATGAACTATGTTTAGTCAACGATTGCCAAAGATAGGGTTCAATAGTCGATGCAACCTCGGGTTCAGGTATCGAAGTTTCATGCTATAGGTATTGAGTTGTTTATATTGAGGAAGAATTCTAAAGCTTGTAGATTTATATGTTTTTTTAGCATGAATTTAAGTAACATTGATGACGAGTGACTAGTTCATGACTTGATTAAAATTTTAGGTAAAAACTCTTTTTTTCCATTGTTCATGCTTGTATGTAGTAGTAACAAGTGAAACCTGAGCATCTATATTCAATCTTAGGTTTTTAGCATTTTAGTTGTATATTTAACAATATAATGTTGCTAGGAGAAAGGCCAATGGCCTCTATTCTATCTTATATTTTCGTATATTGTATTGATATGTTCTCCGTATGGGAGCATTTTTTGTATGACATCACCATTTTATGGCAATTTCCCCTGTATTTCTAAAGTTCTCTTCAAGTTTGATGCTGATTATTTTGAAAACTGTTTGAGCTTCCTTGTACCAAAGTGATGATTAATGTTTAGGTGCACAAAAACCATCCAAATGTAGCATATCTTTGTGACACTTGTGACATAAGAGATATAAGAGAAATATGCCCTTTTGTCTTGATTATGCCTAAAGCAAGTAAAATTGTCAAAAAATGAAAGAAATTGAGTTGAGACCCTTGAAGGTAAAGAACAAGGAATCGGAGGTTCTATGTATCTCTATGTTATTAAAGTTTTATGGTTCGATCATGTTGGCGATTGTTCGGGTTGAAAATCATTTTCTTCATTACGGGACTCATTACAACTTCAGTCATTACAATGATTCAAAAGGAAGGACTTTTTATAAGCCTCCTTACACAATGCAAATAAAAAGATTACAATTTTCTTGAGAACACACGTAGATAGATCGTTAATCGGTCTTCTGCTTACGCGGGGTCTTTGCCAGTGTCGGGGTTTAACCGTGGACCACCGACTGATCAGATCCGAATAATGATTTCTTTGCCTCACAAAGGAGACAAGAAATTAAAGTGACTATCTCGGCAATAGTGAGATAATCACTCTTCTCGAGAATCGCAGTTAGGTACGATCTCAAGGAAAACGGATGAACGGGATGCAGATCTCTCAAACTCTTCTCCTTCTTGTGCTAAAGAACTCGCCAAGATTCATTCCTCCTCTCTGAAATTTGTGTTCCTCACTCTTTAATTTGACAGGGCTTTGCCGAGGCTCAAGAATTCCGGGATCCCTGTAAATGAAGGCCCTAGGGTAGTATTTATAGGCTTCAGAAGCTTAGTTTTCGGATAAGAACGATCGATTTGATCTCATCCTCAGTTGTAACCACTTAACCATGTTCTAGGATAACTTCAGATCAGTAGGGGAGGTTTTGGATCAGATTAAACCAAAATCTGGGCGGTTAACGGCTGAAATTAGTGTTTTTTAGGCACGAGATAGACTTTGTGTCTCGACCTTGGTCGAGACACATTTTGAGTCTCGGCTTTAGCCGAAACACGTCATGTATCTCGGTTGCGCGCCTTGACTTATTTTTCCCGTAACTCCCTGGACTGATCTCAGAATGATGCGATTCAAAGTGTGTTGGAAAGCCAGAGAGGAGATCTACAATCTCTTATGAGTGAATCATGTGTGGAGTGGACGAGACACGAGTGGTGCTTCGTCTTTCGTGAGTGACACGTAACTCCCGATTGAATCGTCTCTTCGTTATTTCGTCATCTCGTTGATTCGTACCCTTCGTCAACTTTCTTCATGCGTTTGTCAACATAAAATAATCCCCTTTGACTCGAATAATAATGTTCATCATCTCCTCTCTGTCTCGAGCTATATGCGGGAACCTATAGGTAATTTTTGATGCCTACAGATACCCCCTCCAAAGCATTTCAGTCTCATTTCTTTTATAGAAGAGCCTGAAATATTTTGGATGTGATAGGACCAACCTTAAGTTGGTGTAAAAGGACCTGTAATTGGATTTAGTTCTTGACTTCTTTAATTTTTAGTCTATTCAGTATTTTGTCGAATAGCTAAAAAAATTTGACACTGCATTTATCGTCTGACCGTTATCGAAATCTCGAATTGAAACTGGTGTGTTGATTTCTGATTTTAACTCATGTCATTGAGTTAACGTTGAATTGACCATCTTCGTCAGGGATTCATATTTGAATGATGGTTGAAATCTTTGGGATTATCCTTCGTTTTGGAGTTGATCTGAGCCTTGTTTTGATGAAAATTGTCAACGCATTGACCTTCATCGCAATGTGTTGACTGGCGTTGACTTTCATCGCAACGCGTTGATCGTTGTTGATCTTCATCGCAACACGTTGACCAGCGTTGGCTTACGGCTATGTGTTGATCGATGTTGATCGTTATTGCAACGCGTTGATCGGCGTTGACTTGTGGCTACACATTGACCGGTGTTGATCGTCATCATAACGCATTGACCGGTGTTGACCTTAGGCTACGCGTTGACCGACGTTGACCTAAGGCTACGTGTTGACTGGGGTAAACACAGTTTAGACTCATATGTTAACTGGAGTCTGTATAGTTTAGGCTCTTAAAGCGTTAGAGCGGGGAGGACCAATTTATACTCGTATACACGTGGAAGTTTCGGGAATTAGTTTAACCTCGTGTACCCGTTGGAGGTTCAAGGAGATGCAATTTATACTCATATACTCATCGAATTGTAGGAAGAACGAGCTGAGAATGCATCGAACGCTCGTCAGGTTGAGCTCTTTGTGTGAGATTTGATTGTAGGACTAGCCGTTTGTGCTGATACAGCTACTATCTCTGAAGTTGCCAAACATCTGAAGTTATTATCCTCATAGCTTCGACTGGAGTTGAGGTTAGCTCAGTTGTTCAAGTCACGAGACCAACTGGTGAAGCTGATGCATTAGTGACTTTTGTCCCGTATTATGATTACCCATTCCGTTTAGAATAGATAAGCATAATACTCATAGGATTTTTGATAAACCCTCAGTCATCAACGGGTTTGAAGTGCCTTTACCGACTACTATTTGAATCGGGCTAGCATGCAGATTGTTTAAGTCCGTTCTGCATGTAACGTTACGCTAAGAGAATAAACTCTCTTAGACTTAATGCTATTATATTGAATACATACACTTTGTTAATTCACAAAAATAGAGTACCTGGAATGCGTCTTAGACGCAGACTTATCTCTAATGAGGGATCGAGATAAAGACCCACATGCATAAAAAGCATGGATTCAGAGATCAATAATTTAATAATAATCACTAGCTATGATATATTGAATATGTAGGCTTTATCATTTCCACAGGAATGTGCTACCCCACAACGTGTGTTAGGCATAGACATATCTCTATTTAGAGATCGAGATAAAGTCTCCCA